CCCCCCCCCCCCCAGGGGATGATCGCTTTGGGCTTTCACCCAACAGTCTGTATTAGTATTCAGACTCGAACTTAGACTCGAACTCGAACTCGGACTTGAACTCGGTTTCAGACTTGGGCTTGGTCTCGGTCTTGGTCTCAATTTCATCTTGGACTCCATCTCAGACCCCATATTGGGTCCATCTCGGATTCCATCTCGGGTCCATCTTGGACTCTATCTCGGGTCCATTTTGGACTCCATCTCGGGTCCATCTCGAAATCCATTTTGGGTCCATCTTGGACTCCATCTCGGGTCCATCTCCAGTCCATCTCAGACTCCATCTTGGGTCCATCTCGGGTCTATCTTAGACTCCATCTTAGACTCCATCTTGGGTCCATCTTGGACTCTATCTTGGACTCCATCTTAGACTCCATCTTGGGTCCATCTTGGACTCTATCTTAGGTCCATCTCAAGTCTATCTCGGACTCTATCTCAGACTCCATCTCGAACTCTATCTTGGGTCCATCTCGAACTCTATCTTAGACTTCATCTTGGGTCCTTCCATATGTTATATGTTGGTCCTCTTGTGTCTTTTTTTTACAGACTCACTTATTGCTTGTTTTGTGCTCGTTCCTTGGGCCCTTCGTTGGAGTTCCACTCTTGCTCTCGACTTTTTGGGTCGGAGCTTTTAGTCCAAATGTGTTACACTCATTTGGCTTTTGCTTCTACCACTACCACATGGCACCCTTTCGCCTCCCCTTTGGGGCCTAGGGATTTTGTGTCTCACAACTCCACCACCCATAAACAAAGTTTGATGTCTTTATTGAACGATAAACTATTTTATCAAGTAATATTAACATGTATTACCCTTTCCATCCTTGGCACCTCATCAATATTCATCAATGGTTTGACACCAAAGGCTCACCATGCCTTGCCCATCCTCTAAGGAGTATAGTCTCTCTAATTTAGAGATTTATTTGACCACTTGTGGTGGTTCTCTTCTTTTATTGGTTTAGTTCTCATTAAACCTATTAAAGATACCTTCTCTATCTTAATCCCATTACTCATTCTTGAGTAGTCTTAGTTTCCATTGATATAACCTTTGCACTTTGGAACTTTTATTTTGACTTCTTGGAGTCAATTTCCTAGGTGTCTCCGACACCTTGCATTGTACATATTGTGCAACTCCACTTCCCCATCCTAAGAAGTTCTCTACTTGATGGCACAATCATCCTTTTTTTTAATTTTGTGCCACCTTTAGCACTAAGTTCTAGTTATCATAATTTGTGCTAGAGCTATCCATGGCCCTATCATTTAGCTACCTTACCGCTCCCTCCCTTGGAGCTTCCACTTTTACTAAATTGAAGCAATTGGGAATCCATCCTTGGAAACACATTGTCTTTCTTACAAATCCGTTAGCACCCAACACATTAGAGTTCTTAGCTTAACTTTGTCATTTAGATTCTTTCCCATAATTCCTATGGCTGTTTTCTTAGCTACTAGTCTTTTGCTCTTATTTTTTATTGTTACACCTAGCAACATAAGATCACTACCTCCATTCTCAAGGTATCCTTTCGGTTCTATAGCAAAGACTTTTCTTTACCAAGTCTAGAGGGTGTTCACTTCTAGTATGTCTATTTGGCATTTTTTGCTGTGGGCTCTATTTACAGCCCGCATGCAACCTCCAAGATGCCACCTCTCACCCTCCCATGGGTCTGTTATAAAGATTACTTTCTTCGGACTCACTATACCATCGTATTGACACAGTTCATTTCCCTTAGGTGTTCTTCCCACTTGGTCATCTTGACCAAGCCACACCATCATCAATAGTTTAAATCAACACTTTAAACTAGGAATTTTATTCTTTAACCTCACAAAGACTTTGTCCTTGTTCTAGCCATTTAGTCACCTAGTGATCTAACCTTGGCATCTTAACAGGTTTGCCAATAGGTACTAGATTTTCCAAACCTTTAAGTTATTCACTATGACCTTGGGGGCATCCCCCACACTTGGCAGTGCACCCAAGCCAGCCCTTCTGGCTAAGAGTCTATAGCAACTGAGATTAGGTTTCCCTATCTTATTCACCACGTTTTTGGTGCCACTTGCACCAAAGTGTTCAAGTTAGATATGTTGAGCTTTCACACTAAGCAATTTAACCGTGTATCATGACTCCGGGGCATCCCCCACTTTGAGGTGTGCCCAAGCCAGTCTCCTTGCTAAGAGTCTATGACCATCGAAAAATGAATATCCTTATATTTCAACCCATCACCACGCCCTAGTGAGTTGGGACTTGAACCCAAGAACTAAAGGGTTGGGACTCGAACCCAACCTCCATATATACATCTATAGACAGCATCACACAAGATGCCTAGCATGACTTCCCATGCCAGTGCACTAACTTATATTTAAAGCGCGCTATAAATCATAACTTAGGAACCTCATTCCTCCACATTATCAAGCCCTCTCACTTGATAAGTCTGTGATCATGCATAGACTCCTCCATGCTTGTCCCCATGGGCCACCCTTTTTGAAATTAGCACCTTCAACTAAGGTATTTGTTCCTCCAACTTGCCAATCTCACTTAACAAGTTATTCTACCATTGTAACATAGTTCATGTATAAGTGTGAAAGTCCTTAACCATC